TGGAGGCTGTGGTTGGCCCAGTGGGTTAACTGCTCTCATCTTCCCTCACACACGGGTGAAACCCAGAGTCCTCACATCATGGCTCGAAAGAGCCCATAGAACCCTCTGGATTCATTGCCAACACTCACCCTCATTCTCCAAGCTCAAAACCCCAAGATGAAATCCCAATTCAGCCACCTCTCTGAGCTGCCATCTCCTCCTGTGCAAGATGGACCTAGTAAAAGTACCAGACAGCCACACAGCCACGGGAGGCTGCACCCCTGGATGCCAGCTTGTCGGTGGAACAGGCACAGGCAGGACTTGGACCCAGGCCCCTCGCCCAGGGCCGCCTGTTCCATCCACGCCTGGCCCTGAGTGGCAGGCATGCCTGCAGACTGCAGGCTCCAGCTTTCTTTCTCTACTTTCAGGAGCGAGTTAAGTCTATTTAAGGCTGAGCCGGGTCTGTTTCAGGCCACGTGTGATCTGCCTTATGATTCTTATCAGATTTCTGGGGCAGCATCCGCAGGGCTTTGAAGACTCTGGCAGAAGCAGAGCGCCGCCATAAAGAGGCTGAATTACATTTACAAGAGGCCTTTACTGCCCTGTGGTCTCGGTTTCCTTAATGGGGATTTTCCTCCACCCCCTTTTTCTCTCTCCCTTTTAATATGGTCACCCGTTCGGCTTTCAGAGTGTGGTTTGGATTCCTCGCAGAGAAGTCAAGACCGTGGAATCCCTCCCCCTCCCTCCCTCCCTCCCTCGTTCCCCACTGGCCAACTGTGCCAAAGCCCCAAGAGAAGGAAGTGTTGTTGCTCCTGTCAGGATTTCGGCCGCAAAGAGGGCAGTCCAGTGGGGACCTGAAACACACATGGGGATTTGTCTTGTGCAAAAATTCTCCTCCGACTTCACACCCAAGCAGCAGACCATGAGCTTGTTGAAGGGACTGGACATGCAGGTGGCATGGTGGCCTTGCTTGCATGAGCAGAGGCAGGGGGCAAATGGGGTCCCGTGCTCTAGGACCAGCGTGGCGAGGAGTCAAGGGACCTCCTGCCTCCTGCCCACCTTGCCCATCCCTCTCTCCTGGAGGCCTGAGTGTTCCTTCCCTGTTTTTTGGATCTGTCTCTGCTGTTAGATAAAGAGCAGCATCTACTTCTTCAGGATACAGGCTCATCTAGGGGTGCGACCAGCTTTGGGGTGGGGGCTGGGAGGGGGACCCAGTGTGTCTCCCCATCTCCCTCCTTTCCTTTTTGTCTTTGGGTGGGATGAGAAAGAGCAGGAGCGCCATTTTCAGAGGCTGAGGCCTCCTCCCCTGTGGTTTCCTCCAGTCCTCAGATGCTCCTTCATACCCCTTGATGACTGGTGTCAACTGGGTCTCGGCCACGTCCAGCTCCTGATGGACAGCTGACTCGAGTGGAAGGCTAGTCCTGGCTGCCTGTCATTTTGTCAGTCCAGAGAGCAGGTCCGCTCATGCCACATGCTTCTGTTCACAGAGTCCCCGCAGCTGCACACACAGGCTCTGCGGCACGTGGACAGTAAAGCAACAGGCAACCAAAAAAAGAACAGGAGGCAAAGAGGCAAGGAATACCAGATCTGTGACATCTTCCCCTATGAAAAGCAGCCATCACCAGTGTCTTGAGACATCACCTTTTATCTCCTTTCCAAAGGAGCATGTGGCAGAGTGCTTTGTCTTGGTGACATGGTGCCATCTACACAGATAATCTGTGCACTGTCTCTAGAGAGCCCAGAGGAAGGAGAGCTTGGGAAGAGCCCAAGCTGGAAGTGAGCCAGTGTGCACTTACTGAGCATCGGCTGTATTCCAAGGCCCCTGCCAGGTGGAACATGTGGGGCACACAGAGCCTGAGCTGGAGGCCAGGCTTTGTATGGAAAACCAAAGGCTTCAAGCAGGAAGCAAGTCACACATGCTGTGACATGCTTATGGGTTCCACTGTCTGACCTACTCAAGGCTTGTTACCAGTACTGTGGAAACCAGAGTTTCTCTGCTTCTTCAGGCAGGTGGAGTCTGCATAAGCTACAGGCCTCTACAGCTGAGAAGGCCCCTTAGCCCATTTATTTTCCACTATCATTGAGTGATGTGTTACAGTTCTTTATGGCAGGGTAGGCCTTCCAGTGATGCAGCAGGCCCCCGCAGCTCACCACCAACTTCTTTCTGGGTTCTTGTCTGGCCGGGATGAGTGCATGTAGGAGCAGGATTTATTCAAGTGTGAATAGAAACAGAGCTCCCACAAGGTGAGAGGGGATCTGATAGCAGGTTGCCACTTGCGTGTGCTAGTCTAGAGGTTTATATAGCACTTGGGTCAATGCTATTGGTCCAAATTTATGCTAATCAGGGTTTGAGAAAGTATCAAAGCTGTTGGTTAGCACTGCAGTCTCCATTCTGGTCTGCCCCACTTGGGTTTTCCACTGCTTGTTTGGAAGTGGGAGGTTGAGGTTGTCTGATGGTAGATGCTTGGGAGTTCTGGGCTGCATACTGGATGGAGTAGGCCTCTGCACCAGGCCCAGTCTGGCTGCTGCAGGGTGACCCGTCAGTGTGCCCTGGTTTGCCTCAGGCCTGGCTCACCACACCTCAGGCCCATGGTGGCATGGCACGCTCCTAGTGGCGAGGCCCTGTGCTGGTAGCCCACACTCTAGCCCTTCTAGGCTGTTGCTCCACTGCCACTTCCCAGCAGGATTAGCAGGTTGGTTGTGCAGCTCAGTGGTCAAGGAGCCATGTCACTGTGGTGACAGGGAAATCAGGGATAGTTGCAGCAATTGCTTCATGTCCCCATGTCCTATCTGTTCCCTTCTGCCTATCACAGACTCCTTATAGGAAGTACCAGCATCCATGGGAGCACACTTAGCCAGAGGTGCTAGAATTAATGTCCTCAAAAGAAGCCCTCAGTAACAAGCAGGAAGTTGGTGGCTGGTTACCCCAGCCTCCCCGCCTCCCTAGCCTCCACAGACTCCCCAGACTCTGCAGGGATGCCCCTGAGGTGTGTCCCCTGGAGTTGCCCAACAGAACGCAGCTCCAGCCCTTGGAGATAACTCTTGATCTCTCTACCTTCTGCCTTATTCTCCCTCTCCCCTAAGGATGCCTCCGCAGATGGCCTCCCATGTAATCCACTAGGATTCAAATTCTTATTTCTAGGGCTGCTTCCATGCGAACAGCCTGAACTAAGGTCATTGCCTTTCTTAGTACTTCACTTGGTCCTTGGCAGAAGAAGCGTGAGTGGAACTTGCAGTGGAATATTTGCTCACATGCAGTGGAAATGATCTTAATTAGGAGCCCTTCAAATGCAAGTGATGAAACTTTATCTCCAACTAGATTAAATAAAAAAGTTGTTTGGTTATTTGGGGTTTGTTTTGTTTTGTTTTGTTTTTTGCTTTACACAAGTGACAAGTAGCAGGATGATCCGAGGTCCAGGAACAGCTATATCCAGCTGCTGAAATGATATCAAAGGAATCTGGCCCTGCTCATTTCTCGCCTTTGATTTTTCAATCATTCAAGAAGCAATTATTGAGCACCTACCTGTGATAGGCACAATTCCTTTCTCTCATTTTGTTCACTTCTCAGGTAATAATAAACTCGGCCACTAGAGGCACTAGCCTTTCATTCAGGGGCTTAGCAGCTGTGGAAGAAGGAAGTCTCAGGGCTTACCCTCATTGGCCCATATCAGGGGTGCCCATTCCTGAGCCAATCACTGGTTGACTAAGCTGAGTCACATGCACCGATTGCCACTGGCATGTGGTTAGCTCCATTGGCATCCCAAGGGCTAAGAATGGAAGCAGCCTTGCCCAGATTGGGACAACACACACATGTTGTAGCTCCAGGTCAGCACTTCCACCACGTACTGGGCTTGCTGGACCTCCCATGGGTCACCAGTGCTATAAAATACAGTACAGTACGGCCAGTGCCCCAGGAATGGGCGTATTGTGGATGTTCTGGAAAGAGAAAGCTCGACCATCAAGGAAGCTTTTCTGAAAAGGGACGTTGGCCCTAGCCCATTGGGCCACTGGGCACAGAAGTGTCAGTTGTATAAGACCTTGACTGTCAGAGTTAAGGTTCTGAATTTAACAACAGTCTAGAAAAGGATTGTGCACCAATGTATTTATCATGATTGAATGTGGCCAGGGCAGAAGGACCTGCTGGAAAGGTCTGACGAGTGGCACTTCCTGTAAGCCTTGTCCATACCTGTAGAAAGATGTACCAACACAGCTGGCAGCAGCCCGAATAGCTGGAGGCTGTGTGTACAGAAAGCCCAGGCAACAGTCACACTGGGGCAGCCATGATCCTTGGCGTTGGCTTGTGCCCGCCCTGGAAATAGCCACCCACCTACACTAAGAATAGAAATTCCTGCCCAGTTGGCAGAAATGTATGTCGATTTCTCAAGGAGGGATGGGTCTGAAAACAAAACATAGCGTGTGGGCTGGGCCATACTTTATATTTATTTGTGAGGTCATTTAGAAGCCACACCCATGTCAGGCATTGATCCTGCCATTAGACCCAGTCAAGGTGACTTGACCAAGTTGTTCGTTGAAGCCCAAGATGGCAGCCTCCAGGGAGAGGCCCTGGGCTCTCAGCCTTGATCGCCTCCTGCCCCCCAGGAGAGGTGACCACTCCTCTTGTTTCCTCGACAAGGGGGAGGGAAATGAAAAGATCCTATGATGGCTTTAGCCAGAATGTCTGGCTCACGAGCGTCTCTCTTCCAGGCAAGATCCTCTTCCGGAGAAGCCACATCCGGGATGTAGCTGTGAAGAGGCTGAAGCCCATCGACGAATACTGCCGGGTAAGGGTGTGTCTGGGAGTGGGGGTGGACCCTCTGCCTGAGGGGCTGTCTGTCTGTGAAGGAGGCTCTCTGTACAAACACTTCTGAGGCCTGGCTTTGCTTGGCCAGTAGGATGGAAGTGGGTGGCCCACCAGGAGGGGTCACTATCCTTTCAGAACACAGCCGTGTTTACAAAGTGCTGTTTTAAATCACTTCCACTGGCTTGGGACCTACATGAGAGGCCTCCTGCTGAAGAGATTTGTGTGTGGCATTTTGCTGGACATGGACAATTGTTTCTTTGAATTCTTTTTGGGATGTTGTTGGAGTCAGCTCTGAGTTTGGTGGCATCTGGAATACACATTTGTTTATTCACATAAGCTTTATAGATGCCAGTGTTCATATACACATCTTTATAGATGCAAATGCTCGCGCTCTCTCTGGTCTCTCTCTCTCTCTCTCTCTCTCTCTCTCTCTCTCTCTCTCTCTCTCTGTCTCACACACGTGCACAGCTGGCAGCAGCCAGCTTGCATACATACACTTGTGCATAACTAGAGCAACCAATACCAAAGAGTAGACAGGAGAGTGACAGCAATGTCATGAGCCAGAGCCCATTTGTCCTTCTGCTTTGATTAGAGCCTAGGACCCCTGCAGTGAGGATGGGAGGCTACTTCATGTCCTTGGCACATGACCTCTGGATGGCCAAACTGCCTGGGTTCAAATGTCTGGCTAGCTTTATGAACTTGGGCAATTTACTTAACTTCTTGAGCCTCAGTTTCCATGTCAGTAGGAAGGAGAATTGTCCCTCTTGCAGAGAGGGTGACCATGAAGATGGAAGGAGCTGGCAATCATCAGGCCTACTATTTAGCTCAGAGGAAGCTTTTAGTAGATGATTTTGTTGTTACAAGGCATTTTGTTTGCAAATTTAAAAAAAAAAAAAACTTTATTAAAAGCATATAAAGGGCTGGGCATGGTGGAACACACCTGTAATCCTTGCAATTTGGGAGGCTAAGGCAGGAAGATCACAAGTTCAAGGCCAGCCTGAGCAATTTAGTGAGAACCTGACTCAAATAAAAAGGGCTGAGGACATAGCTCAGTACCCCTGGGTTCAATCCCTAGCACTGCAAAAGGAAAAAAAAAAAAGTAAATAAAGGGCTGGGGTTTAGTTCAGTGGTAGAGCACTTGACCAGCATATGTAAGACCCTGGGTTTGAGCCCCAGCAGTGAAAAATAATAATAATAAAGAAAACAAAAGCAAATAAAAACAAACCAATAAAAAGCTAGCATTAAATAATGTTACTTCTGTATACCACTGGCTTTAACAGAAACAATTTTGTCTTGTGGAATTTGACTTAAAAATATTAGGGAAGCAAGTGTGGCATCATGTTTTGTTCCAAATGTGGTCATTAACATGAGAAGAGCTGCAGTTGGATCCCAGGGCCCCACTCAGGAGCTGTGTGTCCTGGTACAGTTGCTTTATCTCTTTTAGCCCCAATTTCCTCATCTGAAAAATGAAGATAGAGATCCTGTCTCACAGGGTTGAGGGGGAGGAGGCACAGCACACCGTTTCGACTCCTGAAATGCCCCGTCCTTACACAGAACTGTTACCTGTAAGGTCCCCTTCTACTCTGACATTGTATAATTCTGAATCATTATGCCTGGCAATAAATGTTTAAATAAGAACCAAGTTGCTAAACTTATTAACTGTCGTTCCCAAGCCTCTAGGAAGACAAGTGCTCCCAAACAATTTCATTAAACCAGAATTTGAATTTTGGGCAGATTAAACCTGGGTCACATGTTCTGCCTTGTCCTAAAAGGATGCCCAGAGGGTGAACTCCCCTGAGCTAGATTCCCTCTTCTTCAGATCAATATTCATTTTTTTTTTTCTTTAAAGAGCATGCACTGTTTCTGGTTAATTGATGCCTCAGCCTGAGCTTTCATTTCTCTTTATTCCTTTCCCGGGAAGTTAAATAGATGGGCAGAGCTAATGGAGGAGGGGGCAAAGGGTGGGAGGAAGCCTTTTCCAGCTGGGATTTATGGCTCAAATCAGTCTCAGCCTCTCTGAGCTGGGGAGCCAGAGGCCTCTGTAGTTGGGCTCTGTGGAAATGTGTCTCCTGGATCAGCCAGAGGAGGAAACTGATAGCATCTTATCTCTTAGGATCAGGCTTTGAATGGGACTCCTGATTCAGAGGGTGTCTGCTGCTGGTGGCTGGGGGAGTCAACCGAGTGGGTCTGCAAGAGGGGGTCCTGCCCACCCGACTAGCACAGTTGAGAACTGCTCTGAGCCAGACCATGAACAGTGTCAGGGGTTTGCCAGGCAGACGGCCTCTCACAGGCAGGAATTCACTCTAGAATGCAGTGGAGAGGGGACAAGGCAGACTGACCTTTAATTCTGCTGAACTGAGAAGCTGGGATCTGTGGTCTGATTGTCTGAGAAACCCCTGACCCAGGAACAGTCAGCGGGGGGAAGCCAGCAGCCGTCCATGGCCACTGCCACCCAGTGTTGCATATTTCACAGCTCTGCCCCCAGATGGTCCAATCTATGACCACTGAGTTTTACTGCCCACCACAGCCAACTTCATGGCCAATGCCACGGGCAGCGTATTCTATGCCAGCCCTTCCTTTGTCCTTAGATGCACGCTGCCTGGAGTCTCTAGAGTCCTTATTTCCAGCTCCCTGCATATCCAGCTCTGCGTAGCTAGCAAGCATCTTCTTCCTTGCGCCTGTGAGACAGCATGGGCTCAGAGTCTGGGATTTGGTGGGAATTCAAATGCACCCAAAATTATGAGCCCTGCTCTACATAAGGAGCATGCAGATGTGAAAAGTCTGACCACACAGAGAAACTCCCCAGACTTTGGGATCTCTGCCCTCGTCAGCCAGCTAGTCCCTCCTCTAAGGGTGGTTTCATAAACCCAAATCTCAGTGTTGATTTTGAACGTATATGGAGCAGATTGGATGAGCATCATGGAAAATTTACCAAGCTCCAGCCTGACGATTGTTTTATGTGGCACTTAAGGGCCAGATGTCTAACAAAGAGGGGTTCCAAAGGCATTTCTTTAACTCTGTAAATTAATTTAATGGGCAACATGGTTGTGCGGTTACTATTTAATGGTTCTGGGGATAGCAACAAGGTGAAGACTTTCATTTAACTAAACAAGCATGAGCTATATAGAAGCTCAGACTACCAATTTTGACTGTGACTCCATTTACACTGTTCCTTCCGGGGACATACATGTTTGTAGTGTTTTTCCATGGAATACAATGATTATCCCAGTGGAAAGTATGTGTGTGAGGGAGAATGTTCGAGAATGGTCAACTCACCTTTGACATATTGGTACCATTTATGCAATTCTGCATTTTCGAGTGTGTGTGACTATGACTTTTTTGCTGCCCCAGTAGCTGGGCTTATTTCTCTGATTCTTCTGTCCACAACACACTTGGATTTCAGGGATGAAGGAATGGGGGACAGGAAGTACGAACCCACCAAGAGGTCAGCACTGAAGGCCACAGATCCCCTGACCCTCCCCTGCATCTCCCAGACTCACTTTATCCCCACTTCCCAGATTGGAAACTGAGATTGTTATATACCGGTGAATCCTAATCCCAAGGATAATTCCTGGCCCATCATTGGCTGTTCCCTTGGGGAGAGTAATCTTGATCTTGTGGTCTTTGTTCTGAGGGAGGACCTGGGCCAGGAGTGCTGCTGGTGGGAGAGACTGAGGCATGGTAGGCTGAGGATTTCTAAGTTGGGCAGACTGATAAAGAGAGAAAATTCCTGAGGATGACACATCTTCCGTGAAGTGACCATTCATACCTCCTGAGTGGTCTTGTCCTTGGGGGACCTGGATCAGTAGATTTTCTCCATCTCCCCGACAGACCCAGGAAAGGTGTTTTTAGCCTAGGAGAAAGCTAATCCAGTTCCTGTTCTCCTTAGAGGCCCTTGGAGGAGTCCCACTGCCACCGAGAATGGCTAAGTGTCTCAGCCAGGCCCTCTGGGAGCAGCCTCCAAGAACTGCTCCAGCCCCAACCCCTGCCTCTCCCCCACACGCTGCAGTCCAGTCAGCCAGACCTGAGCAGGCTGTTTCCAGCTAGCCAGGGCTCTGCCCCTTGGCCTGAGCTAATTTGCTTCCTAGGGACACATGCAGCTTCCATAGTGGCCCCTCAGAGATGCCTCATGTCCCCCAGAGAAGCTGAGCACTCTACATGTCTCTGCTCTGCACATCTGTCCTCTGCAGGACAGTAACTTCCCCTTGACCTCTTTCCAGATAAGAAGCTCCAGGGGTGGGGGGCACATCTGTTATCCTCCTGTCTTCACTAGCAAGCAGGAAGTGTGGCCCCCAGTGACAGCATCTGCTGACAAGATGAAAAGGTCCCAGGAGAGAAAATTCCTCAGAGGATGACACCTCTTCCAGGCCCCAGTGTCCTGGGATCCCTTGAGAAACAGCTTAAACTGCCACCAAGAAATAGATATGATTGACATTTGAAAAGGAGGGGCTGCTAGGTCCTCGAAAGAGACTCTTGCATTTGAAATACTGTGGCTTACAGAAGTTCCATGAGACCCCAGCTTTCCAGGTAGTGATCTGGGAAGAACAGCCTGGGCAGGTCAGAGGCAGCCCCAAGGCCTGGAGTGCAGTCTGCCTTTTACCTGTAAGATTTCTGTTGATTGGCAACTGGCACTTCTAGAAAGAGGGTAATGCCTGATCTTGTGTAAAGAGCAGGACACCCATGGGTTGTTTTGCCAAATGGAGAACTTTGTCTTTTGCCCTGGGACAGACATTACCTAGAGAGCTGAGCTTCAAGGGAGCCAAGGACTGAGCCATGAGCTAGGCCCCTTCCCATGCCGCTTGCATTTCCAAAGACTAGACTTTTGCTTCATGTATCTGCGCAGAGGTCTCAGAGACACATCACGCAGCCCCTGCTCCCCACCCTCCAAACCTGCACCATGATGGGCCTGATGACACCTGCTGCTAAGAAAATGGTTTTGAGGGGCAGGAACGGGAGACTTTAGGGCAGTTCAGGACTGGAAAGGGGGGCTCTGGCAGCAGAAGTAGCTGACAGCAAACCTGGATGGCTCTCGTGTGCCTCTTTATCAGTCTGCCCAAACTAGGCACCCACCACCCACATCCCTTCCCCGTTTCTCCTGACCTGGTATTAGCCACCTCCCCGGCCCAGATCTCAGAATGGCAGGACTGGAAAGGACTGGGGTTAGCTTAGCCAGCATCCTGCAGGGACGCACGTGCTTTCAAGCCCCACAGGGCCCTGCTCCCTACCCAGGAGCTGAGGGTGTGAGGTCAGGTTCATTCTGGCCCTTCTGCAACCCAGGGCCTTCGGGACCCTCTGACCTCACCTGAGTCAGAGCCCTGTTAGAAAGGTTCAATCAGATTGATTGACAGATCACTGATAATGGGTCTGTGCATAGCCTTAGTGCCACAGCCTGTTATCGCTAGGAGGACCTTCAGGATATGTCTGATCTGGGTTGGCCCCAGCTGTGTTCCATGAGGTGTCACCAGGAGCAGTTCCAGCTCCACAGTCAAATCCCTGTGAGTAATGTTGAGGCAGTAGAGAGCGTGTGTCGGCTGGGCACTGTGGTGCATGCCTGGAATCCCGGAGGCTTGGGAGGCTGACGTAGGAGCATTGTGAGTTCAAAGCCAGCCTCAGCAACT